TCTCCCCAAACACCCTCCCCCATTGTTCTCTGCTGTGTGAGAGCAGCCCCTGCAGCAGCTGCCCCGCCTTGCCTCTGGGGCTGCCCCGCACAGGGGCCAAGCTCTCTCAGCTGTTTTTTGGCTCTGGGCTGAGGTTCCCCTGCCCCATCCATCCCACTTCAGCTGGGAGCTCATTCCCCCAGTCAATCTGCCAAGGGTCCTCATCTCAGCGAGGGGGCTGCCCCCTGCAGTAGCTCACCTAGCTGCAGGCAGGAGGGGATCAGGTCTCATGGCCCTGTTGCTGGCCCACTGTACCAAATTGCTGCATCCAACTGGCCCACTGGCAGCAGCTACATGTTGTGCTAGACTTAGGCTTTGCCCTGAGCACTCTCGTGTGTCATCACTTATTGAACCCAGCTTCAGAAAAAGGGCTGAAGGGAGCTCGTTGCCACCAGATTTTAGTCTCACTTTAGTACCAGGCCCCATGGCTGTAATTAGCACCATGCTCAGCATTGCCAGACAGAGAGGAACCTAACTCAGAGCTAGGGACCCTGTTCCAGTTATTTGAGAGGATTGATAGCCACGTGAACAAGGGTGATGTAGTGAATGCAGACTGTCAACTTGTGTCAATCTCTCGCTCCAGCGCTCAGGCAAAGAGTGGAGAATGAGAGGGAAAGTCTACTCAGGGATCAAAAATCATCAGCCAGTTAAAAAAAAAGTCATGAATTTTGCTGTTAACAGACTTCCATTTTTTCTGGAGGTTTTTGACCTTTTCAGATCCACCCAATTGCAGCACAGCATACAATGTGTAGAGGGCTCACTGTGTATTTATTTTAGATTACAAGTATTTGCACTGTAGAAAACAAATCCTGTACAAATGTAAAATGGTAAACAAAAAAGCCTACACTCAAAAACAGTGTAAAACTTTCAAACCTGCAAGTCCATTCAGTCCTATTTCTTAGTCAGCCAATTGCTCAATCATATTTAGTTACAAATTGCAGGAGATGACAATAGTGCTGGCCTCTTGTTTACTATGTCACCTAAAAGTGAGAACTGGCTTTTGCATGGCACTGTCATAGGTGGTATCAGAAGATATTTGTGTTGGATGTGCTAGAGATTCACGTGTTCCTTCATGCCTAGGCCACCAGTCCAGAGAACATGCATTCCTTCTGATGAGGGTTCAACTCCATAATGAGCCATAGCAGCACTGAATGCACATTCATTTTCATCATCAGATGTCACCAGCAGCTGGTTGGTTCTTCCCATTGGTGATTCAAGTTCTGTAGTTTCCATGTTGGAATGTTACTCTTTGAAGCTTTCTGAAAGCATGTGCCACACCACAGCATTTGAATGTTAAGTCTCCAGCCAGTGCGGTGTCTCTTTTTAGAAAGCTCTGTTGTGTTTTGTCAAATTTGCTGTGAAAGTGTTCTTAAAACAAACATGCTGAGGCATCAGCTACCACATGAAATATCTGGCAGGATGCAAGTAAAGCAAAGCAGGAGATACACAATTCTCCCCCAGGAGTTCAATCACAAATGTAATTAACACAGTATTTTAACAAGTGTTGTCAGCATGGAAGCATGTCTTCTGGAGTGGTGGCTGAAGCATGAAGGGGCACATAAATACCTTGCAACACTGACTACTACAGGGCCACGTGAATGCCTCTTGTACCTCCAGGCCATATTGCAAATAAGCAGGCAGTGTTATCTTCTCTCAGTGTAAACAAACATCTTTGGCTGACTACGAATTAGGGCTGCATGGACTTCCAGGCTCTACAATTTCATATTTTGGGTTTGAGCACAGCTATACAGGCAGTCCCCGGGTTATGTACAAGATAGGGACTGTAGGTTTGTTCTTAAGTTGAATTTGTATGTAAGTCGGAACTGGTACATATTGTAGGGGAAACTCTAGCCAAACATTTCTCCAGAGCTCAGTTTTATTCTCCCACACCTCACTTCCCACAGTCCTTTATTCTCAAGCTGAGGTGTCTGCTGAGAAAAGCCGCTCCACGTCTCCCTGGTCGGCTGGGAGGGGTGCTAGCTTTGCGTCTCCCTGGTCTGCTGGGGGGAAGCAGCTAGTGTGGGGTTGCCTCACCCCGTTTGTAAGTAGGGATCCGATGTAAGTCGGATCCATGTAACCCGGGGAAAAAAAAAATCTACATATGTAAGTTGCACTTTCATAGTAAAGAGATAGCTCTACAGTGAGTGTAGGAGGTGAACTGAAAAATACTATCTTTTATTTTTACAGTGCAAATATTTGTAAAAATAATTAAGCATTGTGCACTTTACATTGTGTTGTAATTGAAATCAATAATGAAAATGTAGAAAAAGTGCGACTGATTTTTTTTAAGTCATGATTAATTTGAGTTAATAGTGTGAGTTAATTGTGATTGACTGGTTAAAAGCTAGGAAGACCAGGGGAGGAATAAATAGTCCATTCTCAGACTGGTGAGAGATAACTAGTGGTGATTCCCCCCAGGTCTGTACTGGGACCAGTCCTAGTCAGGGATCCAGAACACTGGGCAAATGGTGAGCTAGCAAAATGTGGGGAAGATATAAAAATCATGCAGGAGGGTTCTCTCCAAAGCTGCCTGCAATGAGCTACAAAGGGATCTCACAAAACCAATATGAAATTCAAGGGCGAGCAATGCAAAGTAACAGATTCCTAATGATATACAGGGCCTAAAGAGTCTAAATAAGCAGTTACCACTCCACTCCTGTTACCACAGCACATCTGAGCCAAGGAAGGGGTGCAGCCAGGTGACACCTTTTGCCAGGGGAACAAAAGGCAAAGGAAGGCATGCGGTCAGGCTGTTAGGTTGGGGCTGTCAGTCTCAGTTGGCTTGGGATAGGGATCAGCACCATTGGCTGAGCCCACTCGCCCCAAGACAGATTGTATGGGCTGCTTCTGGTTCCTGTGCAGTAGTATCACCCTGCATAGTTCTCCACAAACAAGTTTAGAGTCCTGGGATGCCATGAGAAAAGGGAGAGCAAGACAGTAACAGACTCCCACTGATATCCTCCCTTCGTCATCTCTTCTAAATTAGCAGTTCCAGTTATTTAATCTATCATATGGAAGCTGTTCCATCCCCCTGATCATTTGTCACCCTTCTAGGTACTTTCCAATTCTAATGTTTCTTTTTTAGATGGTGCAGGTGTTCCATGGACTTAAACGGGCATTATAATATTGTCTTATCTATCCCTTTCCTAGTGATTCCTAACATTGTTAGCTGGTGTATTTCGCTCCGAGCTGAGCCCAGAGGCAGAAGGAAGAAGTGAGATGCCCATGCCCACACCCCACACTTAGCCTCAGGGGAATATCCTACAGCCCAGGCCAGCAGTTGGTTGCTCAGCTCTAGGCCCCTGTGCAGGGAGCAATTTCCTCACATCACTATCCCTCTCTGCAAACAAACCCCCTCCATGCATGGCTAGGACAGCGAGGACTTGCAGTCACTTTGCTCTGTTGCATGTGAGTTCTACTGTTCGATCATAACCCAGTTGCTGGGACACTGAACCAATGCCTAGATGGGGAAGCTAACCTAGCTCCAACCTGTCCGAGCCCAGTAGGGCCTTTTGCCACGAGAACAAAAGACAGATAAGATTCTTAGCCCCCACCTACCAGGCTGGTCCCTAAGTCAGACTCAGTTACCTTGAGGTACAGAGATAGGGGCAGAGCCCTTGGCTCTGAGCCCCCTCTCCCCAGGATGGATCATGCTGGCTGCTTCTAGTTCCTGTGCTGACAAGTCTGCTCCACACTGTGTCCCTGCTGCCTCAAACCACCTCTTGTAGCCACCAGCTGAGTCTCACATCTGGCTGCAGATGGTGACTCCCTACGCTTCAGTGATGGGTGGCAGCAGTGGGATGCACTGCACCCCATAGACCGAGCATCAGGCATTAAATGACTGGGGCAGAGTAGAACAAAGAGGGACAAGCAAGAGCCAGGTGCACTGAAGGCCAGTGAGGTGCAATCCCAGGGGTGGAGGAACCTGCAGCTTAACTTGAGCATGTGGTCCTCAAGAAGGGGGTCACACCCAAGGAAGGGTTCTTTGTGGGGACAACCAGAATTGGGCCCAGAAGTCACAGTTGACTGGATAGGGGTACAAGGCCTGCTGGCTGCCCACCCTTTGGCAGCACAAAGCGCTGTTTGCCTAAGGCTCCACCATGCAGAAGGGTTGGGCTCAGCCACTAGCAGGGAGATGGGTGATGGGGCAGCAGAGCAGGGCCCATTGGGTTCGCAGCCCCTCCCAGTGGAGCTCACAGGACGTAAGGCGTAGGGTGTCCCCAGGGACGGGGGAGAGACAGCAGCAAGGCCCCTGCTCTGCCTGCCCCTCCCCTCCATCAGTCACGCTGTATCACAAACCGCTTTATTGGCAAGGTAAAAGCTCAAAGTGTTGCACAGACAGGAGGCCCCTGGGCACGTTGTGGCCCAGAACTATGCCTGCGGGTTGTGCACCGTGCCAGGGATGCAGCTGGCCAGGCCGAGCGCCCAGCACTGCCAGTTCAGATAAAGGTGATGCGGGTGCGGGCCTGGTTCACCTGCCAGACATTGAGCTCCTCATACTCGTCCAGCGCAGCCTGAAACTGGGCAGGAGTGAAGCCCCTGGAGATGCAGCGCTGTTCCGCCTCAGCATAGGGCACTGCATGCCTGCCTGCCCCGCCCGCCAGCTCCCGCACCGCCGCAAAGATCAGGTCAGCAGGCCGCTGAGTCCTAGGGGGGTGAGGAGAAGGATCAGTGCTGCCTCAAGCCCACACTGTCCTCAGGGAAGCCCCCCCCAACACCATGCCAGAACCTGGTACTTCCATATCTATTGATCCTGCCCATAGCCCCAGTGTCAGTCACAAAAAGTGCTCCTCCAACATGATGCTCCCATCCCATCCTGCCAACAGATCCCAGGCCAGCCCCTAGGAACTGCCCCCATGCTGCAAGGTACCCCACACTGCTGTCTTGGGGCAGGGGGAACCACCAGAACATGCCCCACATCTCAAAGCACCTGCCCACCAGCAGGAAGCGGGGCCATGTGAGGAGCCCTGCCCTGCTAGCATGTGGGGCCCAAGATCCAGGCCCCCTGCCTCACCTGGCTTGCTGGCCCCTGTCACCGAGTAGTGAGTCCTTAGACATCTCCATGAGCCGCATGGCCTCGTTCACATCCTCCTTCTCCACCACATCCACCAGCCTCAGCCGGGCCTGCAGAGGGCAGCAGGGGAGGGTCAGGGCAAGGCACCAGCTGCGCCCCTGAGCCAGGGCCTGCCCCTTCCTGATGCCCGACCCATCAAACAGGCACTAGCAACCCTTGTGACCCTGTCTGCCACACCAGCCCATACAACACCCCTTCCTACCCACCCCCCATCACTCAGCCCGACGAGGCTGCATCCCCACTGCCCTGCTATGGGACAAACCATACAGCAGCCTGTGGGCCTGGATCTACCACAAGGGGACAGGTGTCCTCATCACAGGGCTCAAGAAGCACTAACTTGGCAGCGGACGACTGAATTTGGAACCTAAGCGAACAGCACTTGGCAGCCTCCAGGCCTGGCTAGCAACAGGCAGAGCAGTTCCTGCTTGGGCCAGCCCCTGTACACTGCACACTCTGTCCCCACCCGCAGCCAGAAGGCCCAGCCCCGCAGGCACCCAGATGCCAGCTACCTGTACTGTGAGCACTTTAGCCTTGCAGCCCCCCCGCCCGTCCCCATCCAGGCAGCCGCTCACCAAGGCGCTAGCCAGGCGCAGGATGCCCAGCAGCGTGCGGGCCGACGTGTAGGTAGTGTCTTTGCTGGCCCAGGCCTCCTTGCGCATCTCCACATAGGCAGCTGTGATGTAATCGGCGAGCGCCTCTGGCACAGCTGGCTGCTTCCGCTTGCACATGTTGATGTAGCGCCCGGGGGAGGGGAGGCCTATGTGGTGGGGGGGGGTGGGGGCATCTGTCTCCCAGGCAGAATACTTGGGGCAAACATGGCTCCCAGCCCTCTGCCAGAGCCAAGGAGAGAACCCAGGAGTCCTGGCTCCCAGCCCCCTTCTCTAACCCACCAACCACTATTCTCTTCCCAGAGCTATGGAGAGAACCCAGGTATGTGGGCTCCCAGCTGCCTCTTCTGTCCCCAGGCCAGGTGAGCACTTACCTCATGAGCTTCATGTCCAGCTGCTGGAAGGCGCAGGGCGGCTGGCGGCTGTGCTGGTGCACGTAGGTGATGTGCTGGGCTAGGCTGCAGGGGTGAGAGGCATCAGTGCCGCTGCCTTGGGCCCACCCCCGTCCCTGCCCAGCACCCATCCAGTTCTCACCGCAGGTCATTGTCACGGTCGGGCCGGTCCTGGATGAGCCAGAGCAGGTCAAAGCGGGAGAGCAGGGCGGCCGGGAGCTGCACGTTCTGCTCCAGGCTGCGGCGAGGGTTGTAGCGCCCATAGGCGGGGTTGGCAGCAGCCAGGATGGCGCAGCGGGCATTGAGGGTCGCCAGCACGCCTGCCTTGGCAATGGAGATGCTCTGCTGCTCCATCACCTCGTGAATGGCTGTACGGTCACTCTCCAGCATCTTGTCAAATTCGTCAATGCAGCACACGCCCTGGTCGGCCAGTACCAGTGCCCCGCCCTCCAGGGCCAATTCGCCAGTCACTGGGTCCCGCAGCACGGCTGCGGTCAGCCCCACGCCAGATGAGCCCCGCCCCGTGGTGTACTGGCCTGCAAGGAGGGGCAGTCAGAAGGGTGCCCCATCGGGAGGGGCAGGCAGTAGGGTACTGACCAGGGGAGAAGGGTAGTCAGGGGGATACCCTAACCCTGGGGAGAAAGGGGGCACATGGCACTACATGGGATAGTAACCCAGGAGGAGATAGGGACCCGCCTACTCTTACCCTCCCAGTTGCCAGACTGCCCCTGGAGGATGCACATGCTAGGCCCCTCAGAAGGTGCTACTCACTACGGGGTGCCAGGCGATCAATATAAGAAAGCAGCTGGGACTTGGCCACACCGGGGTCTCCCATCAAGCAGATGTTAATGTTCCCTGGAAGCAGACAGATCAGCATCAGAGACCTCTCCCAAGCCTGACCCCCCACCCCCTACCACTCCAGCCTCTCCCCAACTTACCACGAATCTTCATGCCACGGGGGTTACGGTCCACACCCCCCACCAGCAGCAGCAGCAGCGCCTTCTTCACATCCTCATGCCCATAAATCTCAGGGGCGATGGAGGCAGCCAGCTTCTCGTAGAAATCCTCCTCTGCAGCAGGAAGGATATCAGTGGGGCTACGGAGCCTGAATGTAGCCCTGGCTCCATCCCACACTCACCGGGGCTCAAGTGAGGAGGTGAGCCAGCTGGCAGGGTGGACAGGGGAGGTCAGCAGGGACCAAGGTACCACTTTTATCAGCTGCTCTGCAATTAGCATGCCCGGAGAGTTGGCAGGAGGTGCTGCAGGGCTGGGATGGAGGAGGGCTATGGGGGGAGTCCCAGTGCAACAAAGTGGGGATTTTATTCCCCTCATTATGTTGCATCTGATTTCTACTGTCCTATAGTAACCCCGTGCGAGTGCCTCAGTTTCTCAAGATGACAACTTTGGGTGTGACTTCCATTCAGAGAAGCTCCCTCAGCCTCCTGCAGGTACATTGTGGCACAAGCGCTTTATGATTTGAGCCACAGGGCAGGGTTTGACCACATGACACCATTTGCCAGTGAGCGCAGAGGGGTCTGGCTGGGGCACTGGCTGGAGGGTCGGGGCAGGGCTCTTGATCTGAGGCCCCTCTCCCCAGGATGGATGGTGCTGGCCATTTCTGGTTCCTGTGCTGACAAGTCTGTGTCCCTGTCGACTAATAAACCTCTTCTAGCTGCCAGTGGAGAGTCGCGGATGGGGGTGCAGGGCCTCCCTCACACCTCAGTGATACCCAGCTGCCCTGCATTTGGCTGGCCGCCGCAGGCCATGGGGGGGGAGGGGGTGTCACAGCTGCCCCAGGATGGCTGGGGTGGGAGCAGATGAGGCAGGTCGGGGGGAGATGGAGGGAATCACCTGTGATTTGGCGCAGCTCATCCTCTGTCAGCTCCTCTGCCCCCAGCTCATCCTCCTCGCTCTTGTTCATTTTCGCAATGTGATGTGCCTCCAGGTAGGTCTCAGAGAGCAGCCCCTAGAGGGAACAGGGGTGTCACTCCATGGGCCCTGCCCACCAAGCCCCACCACCACTTTCATTAACCCCACACCCCTCACCTGGGCCATCTGCCGGAAACCGGTTCTCAGCAGGGGCAGGAAGACACCAGTGATGCTGACGTGGTCGCCAGGCTGAGCCAGCCGTGTGTTCTCGCCATGCACAGTCACGCTGATTGAGCGGGGGAGATGCCCCACAGGCACCTGGTCACTCTGTATGAGAAAGATACACACTGGCCCTGATCTAGCCACCCCTCGAGACCAGCCCCTGCTCTAGCAGAAAGCCCCCATGATGACGTGGTGGATTGATGGTGGTTTCAGTGGGGTTGCATGCGGGGAAATGGAAGCACTCCGTGTCCCTGGCTATTACTGGTTCAATGGAGGGTGAGGGGGGTGGGGGAAAGAAAAGGAGAGTTTGTTGTTCCAGGGACCAGCACAGAACTGGAGACCCCACCGACTGGTGACCAGGAGACCCAGCTTGGCTGGCACAGCTGGGCCAGGGCCAGTGAGAGGCCAATGGGCTGTGGGGAGAGGAGCCCAGTGACTTATACAGCTGGTCCCAGCCAGGGGGACAAAGGATGGAGGAGAGGGCAGGCAGGGAAGGGTGGGCGGGGGGACAGGCAACCCTGGTTACCTGGGCAGAAGACAGAGGCCAAGGGAGGGGCTGCTGGGGAGGGATTTGGGGGGGCTGGGCTGGAAGGAGGGGGCTGCTGAACTGGGCAGGGGGAGCAGGCAGAGCCCACCTGGCTGCAGGGGAGACTCAGACGTGTTGGGCTGAGGGGGCCAGGCCTACAGGCCTGAAGTTCCTGTGCTGGGTTCAGTGCTCAATGAACCCTCCTGTGTGACGCTGGCGGAGAGTCACTCCGGTCTGAGAACAGGGCTGCACTAGCCCCCCTGCGAGTGTAGGTCCTGGGGTCCAGATAAATGCTGGGGGCTCAGAGAGGTGAGGTCCCAGTAGGGCTGGAGACTGCCCCGGCCGGAATGGAGCAGTTTCCTCACCCAGAATCTAAGATGTGGGTTTGTTACAGGCCATCATATCACAGGCCGGGTGTGAGGCCTAAGGCCCAGACACAACCGTTAAGACTTTGCTAATATAAAATGAAGACAAGCTGCGAGCAAGAGGCAGGCCTTGCTCGCAGAAGTTGACAAGAACAGAGCTAATACTGCAAAACACTACTAGGCAAAAGCTCTAAGCACGTTCAAGTGTGGTCACAACAGAACACCTTGTTAAGAAATATCTCGATACCAGCCCCCTCCCCACAAACAACAGGAATACTGACTCACTCAGGACCACCAGCATAATAGATAGTAATTGAATGAGATAAAGGGTGGTAGCTAAGCTACAGGAGGTGGCAACCTGATACATCAAGAGTGATGTGGAATGTGTTTGTACCTGCATATAAAAGTGAACCCCAAAGAGTTGTCTTTGTCTGACCTAGGGAGAAGTGTCTCATCCCTGGCACTGTCCACTATAATGGGCATACATGTGTTAGCCTCACTGCAGGCTCTTTGGTCCAGGGAAGCTAGGACTGTGCCTCATCTACAACAAACCTGGCCAGGCACCTTGGATCCTTATCTGATTTTGTGGTCTTTGGGGGCAATCAGTCTGCTGTGTTGACTAATTGTGTGAGATCTATACAGTAAACAGAGGGAGCAAATGCACTAACGCATGCAGCCGAACAGTTATCAATGAAAAAACAGGAGACCTGTCAGCATGCCACATCCCTAGGTCCTAGGAGACAGAGCGGCTTAACTCCCAAGGAAAGTGGATTCCCAAGAAGGGTCTATTGCACTGGAGGGGTTCCCCTGAGGACTATACAGTCCAAGCTTGGGCGTAACCTACAAATCTGTGACAACCTCATAACCAAATGGGAGGGCTGTCATCAGGAGCACCCAGATCGGTCTTTGGGATCCCCAAACTCATCCCTCCCATTTGCCCCCCACTCACATGCTCCTGCATCTTTAGCTCCTGGAACTTGATGAACTTGGAGCCACGGCTCTGCAGATAGAGACGCCCCCCGGAGCGGTTGGTCTGGCACTCCTGGCTCGGGCACATGATCAGCGGCATGAAGGTTGGGGCCTGGATCTGCAGGGGTGGGAAGAGGGTCTGAATCAACCAGCCACCCCTCTCCACCACACCTAACCAGGGAACACAGCTGCTCCCTCGTGCCCAGCTGGGGGCATGACAAAGTAGGGACGTTCGTCATTTGCTGATCTCAATAAGTCTCAGTTTCCCCATGTTTCCTAGCTGCCTAGTAAAGGAAGGGCAACAAATGTGTTCTGAGGACCAAGTAACTGACATGGGTGCTGAAGGAGCTGGATGAAATAGACCTCAACCCACCAGGGGCCCACAAGACAAGGTGCAGTCGAGTGACTAGAGATCTCGTCACCCCTCGGCAGGGAAGCAAGCAGAGACCCCAGCTACAGAACACAGGCCAAGAAAGCGTGAGGTAGGGATCTAAAATCCCAGCTAATCGGTTAAATGGTTAAGCATTAGATTAACCTAGTTGGTTAACCACGTAAACATTAAGCGGGATCTCACCACTCCAGCCCCCACACTAGGGCTGGCTCTGCCAGGGCAGGAGGGGCATGTCCCCCCCCCCGCTCCCGACTTCCCAGGCTGTGTTGACTGCCTGGGCGCCGTAGTGAACAGGCTCCTGCAGGGCGGGACAAGACTCTCCCAGGTGTAAACCTGTTTCACTGGCTGACTGGAGCACAGGGTGGGACTAGTCTCTGGAGACATAAGTCCATGTGGCTGGCTCAAGAAACACCTAGGGGGTCTGTCACATCAATGGGGTCCCTGGCACAACAGAGGGGTATAGTCCTGTGGACTGGTGACAACAGCTCAGCCATTCATCAAATTAAATTCATAGGTAGCAGGCTTAAAACAATCCAAAGGAAATATTTCCACGCACAACACAAAGTCAACCTGTGGACCTCTTTGCCAGAGGTTATGTCCAACACTATAACACGGTTCAAACAGCTAAATAAATTCATGGAGAACAGGTCCATCGATGGCTATGAGGCAGGATGGGCAAGAATGGTGTTCCTAGCTTGTGTGCCAGAAGCTGGGAATGGATCATCACTGAATGGTTACCTGTTCTGTTCATTCCCTCTGAAGCACCCGCTTTGGCCACTGATAAAAAACAGGCTAGTGGTCTAGATGGACCTTTAGACTGACCCAGTATGGTTGGTCTTATTTTCAGCCCTGAGCTGACAGCCAGCCGGCAGGACAGCTCAGCCCAGCCCCTTCCACTCACTGGCTGGGAGGGCGTCTCCGCTCCACACTGATCACAGCTGTAAGTAGCCACCACCATCATGGGCTTGACCTCAGTGACACGGGTGACGATGCCGCGCACGGTGACCAGTTTGCCAATGCAGTCGGCTTTCACGTCCCGGATCACGCGGGCCTTGGAGCTTGACGGTGCCTTGAAGTAGAGCTCACTGGAACAGAAGAGAAGGCCCACGAGTTAGAGCCACAGCAGGGGCCAGGGGGAGGAGAACCTGGTTGGGGGCAGGGGAGATTTAAAAGAGCCAGGAATAACAGGACCCCCACACCTCCCCTCACATGCACTCACAAGCGGCGCAGCAGCTCTGGGGGGTACTGGTTTTGGGGTCTGCGTGTCTCTGCTGTATCGTGGCCACGCTGCTCCAGCATCAGCCGGTGCTCAATGTACACGTCCAGGGCATCCTTGTGCACTACCTGGAGTGGGTAAACAGGGACTCTGTCAAGGTGCCTCAGCCACTCTCCCAAAGCTCCTTCCACCCACCAGTATCCCTCCTCCCTCACCACCCCTCTCCTTTACCTCATGCTGCCTGTGAAGGGGTAGCAGCTCGTGCACAGCGTCGGCAAAGAGGCGGGTGTAGCGCTTTGCATTCTCGCACACAGCATCCACTAACTCAGGGTCCTCCTCTGCCAGATCATCCAGCTCCACATACAGAGCCACCTGCTCCCTCTGAGCCAGGGCTACCTGCGGGGCAAGCACAGGTTGAGCAGCTGGGGGTGAGGCCCGGAGCCGCCAGAAGTGGGAAACATGGGTGCAGAGGGAAGTAGGGATGATAAATATCAGTTAATTGAATAGTTGGGTAAGCTCATGAATTCTTATCGCTTAGTCAACCATTCTCTAACCCCAGCCTCACTCCCGAGGAGCCCCCGCCACTCCACACGGCTGCTGTATCAGCGGTAGCTTTGTGGGGTGCCAGGTGGGAGCTGGTCCATAAGACGAGCCAGCGCCCCTCACGACTGGCTTCCTGTCGCTCTATGCTGCTGCCGCTGCTAAGGCAGTTGCGCCCCTGCGCAGGAGGAGGGCTGAGCGGAAGGGAGCCGGGCTGCCCGCCCACCCCGCTCCTAATACACTTCGCAGCGCCTCAGCGGGGGCAGGCCCTGGACCCAGCGCAAGCCAGGACTGAGCCGGGCCGCCCTGCTGGAAAATGCGCTGGGAGGGGAGGGGCAGCGCGCAGCCGGCGGCTGTTGCTTCTGGCGCTCGGC